TGGTTAATTGGGTTTACTCCCCAGAGCTGTTCCCCTGGAATGGAAAGTTCTAGAGACAGTGGGTGTTGACAGTGGGTGTGTCTGCAGTGTTGGAACCTAGCCTGTGTCAACCACAGAGCTGCTGGGGTTCCTCTCTGCCTTTTCTCCATATTCAACATTTCCCCCCGACAGACTCGGACACCTTAACTTGGGAGACCAGTGAAGGCCTGCCCCCAGCAAGATGGCGGTTCAAGCTGCGTGTGGGTCTAACTCGTGCAGGAACAAAGCCCCTACCTTTCTTGGCTGCCACTGTCTCCTCCTCCTTTTTCTTTTCTTCCAAGGCCTTTACCTTGGCCTCGTACTCGTCGGCCAGGGCCTTCCACTCCTTCCTGTTGTTCTGCAGTCGGTCATACATGGGCAGGATCTCCTCGTGGAAGCGGGAAAACTCCTGGAAGGGAAAGGGGAAGTCAGGACCCCCTACTGATGGTCAGGCCTCCTGGTCCTGCACTCAGCCTTCGCAGGCCCAGCCATCCCTCTCCCCCACGCTGCCCAAAAGAGATTCCAGGAAGGGAACTGTTTGGTGGGGGAGGGAGAACCACCAGGATGCTACTTCCCTAGCAAAACCCTAAAAGGAGAAGGGCTGGGGGATTCGTGTCCAGGGTGGCTCTGTGTTCCATGAGGGGCTTCGAACAGGTTTGAAAGAGTTCAATCATGGCCAATGGCACATACGCGTTTCATAGCAATCAATCTTTTGCACATGGGATTTTGACCCGAATAGGAAACAGGTGAAGAAGACTTGAAGCACTTATTGTTGAAGATCAAAGACTACAAGCCTTCAGTATGGATTATACCTCAACATAAAGAAGATAAAAACTTCACAACTGGACCAATAAACAACATCAAAAGAAAAGACTGAAGTTGTCGAGGATTTTGTTTTACTTGGATCCACAGTCAACATCCATGGATGCAGCAGTAAGGAACCAAACGACATATTGCATTGGGCAAATCTGCTGCGGGAGGCTGGTCTAAAGTATTACAAAGCAAAGATGTCACTTTGAAGACTAAAGTGCACCTGACCCGAACCATGATATCTTCAATAGCCTCATATGTATGTGAAAGCTGGACAGTGAATACGGAAGACTGAAGAAGAGCTGATGCCTTTGAATTACGCTGTTGGTAAAGAATATTAAATATTCCATGGACTTCCAGAAGAATGAACAAATCTGACTTGGAAAAGTACAGCCAGAATGCTCCTTAGAACCAAGGATGGCAAGACTTTGTCTCATGTCCTTGGGACATGTTAGTAGGATGGATTTGCCCCTGGAGAAGGACGTCATTGGTGAAGTAGACAGTCAACGAAAAGGAAGAAGACCTTCAACAGGATGGATTGATACGCAGCTGCAATGATAGGCTCAGACAATAACAATTGTGAGGATGGTGCCTGACTGGGCAGTGTTTCCTTCTTTTGTACTTGGGGTCGCTATGAGTCAGAACTGACTCTATGGCACCTAACAACAGGGAGCAGGCAGCAATGCCCTCCTCAAAGATGGTGGCCGACACACATTGAAAGCTGTGGGGTTGGCCGCCATCTTGGAGCAAGGCAGTGCTGTCTGATTCCTACTGGTCAAAAGGCCACGTGCGAGAGCTGTGGTTGCTATGCAACACATATGCTCATGGGCCATGACAGAACCACTGTTCTGAAGCCTTTTGAAGCCCTGGTTCCATGACAGCTAGAATGGGGAGTTGCAGGTGTAAATCTTTATGATGCAGACTTGTTTTGGGGGGAGAGGCACCCAAGGATGGAATGAAAGGTGTTGGCTGCAGGAAGGAGGCAGAGGTGCAGGACTGAGAGGTGACCCAGGTGGAGGGTGGAAAGGTGTGGGCAGATTCACGTGTCTTGCAGCTCCTCCCCTTATGCACACACACATGCAGGCGACACGTGTTACACAGGTGATGACTGTGGGCAGCACTGACCCATTGCGCCAAAGCTGGGCTCATCAGAGTGTCTTCCTCCTAGTGCAAGGGTGGGGTGCCGTGTGTGTGTGTGTTTGTGTGTGCGTGCCCGTCCCCAAGGAGACACCTGCCTTGCCCAGCGACACACAGGAGCACTCTGCATTTTCAATTCACTTCTCTCTCTAACCCAATCTGAGAAGAGGAGAGGCTGTGTTATTTACAAAATGTCTGATGGGGCCCCAGCCCCACTGCGCTGCTGCCCCCTGACCCTGCTTGTGGGTGCTGAGGCCTCTCCTCGGTGTCTGGTGTGAAGTCAGGGAAGCAGTGGCTGGGGGATCAGGGGAAAGCTGTGTATGGACGGAACTGGGTCCCCCCAGAAGGCCTGACCCCTGGGCCTGTGAATGGGACCCTCTTTGGAAACAGTTTCTTTGAAGATGTTGTTTGTTCACATGAGGTCAGACTGGAGCAGGGCAGGTCCTAACCTGTACAATTGTGGTCATTATAAAAGAGGAGAGACATACAGAGATGGGACAGAGGAAGGAAGTTGTGGGGCGTCACAGCTGCAGCCCAGGAGCCCCCGGAGCCGTCAGAGCCAGGAGAGGCATGGGGCAGATCCCCCCGAGAGCCGTGGGAGGAATCCATGTGGCTGGTCTCGGCTTCTCAGCCTCCAGATACGTCCCTGCTCTTAGAAGCTGTGTGGCATGCGGGACTTTGTTACGGCACTGTAGTGCCCCTTGGGTGTCTGTCAGGACCTGAAGGTACACCTGGGTCCTGCCTGTCCCCTCTGTCTCCCCCAGCACTCACAGTCTAGCGGGGACACCCGGTCCTGCCTGTCCCCTCCGTC